TTTGCTTGTACGTATAGTGAAGCAATGGATGTTAGAACTTGTTAGTAACTAATAACTATTAGTTTGGAGGAAATTTTGCATATAAAAAATTGCATGCTTGTAAAAATGTAAAAAAAATTGACTGATATAATTAATTTGTTTAATACTTGGGTACCATTTAATTTGTATAAAATCCTTCAATGTTTAGGTTCTATTATTTTCATAAAAATGTGCTTTCACATAAATAGGTATATAGTTCTGAAAAAGAGACTACCTCAAAAATATTATCCATTATTTTTGGGTATAAACCAGCATTCAAATTTCTTATATATTTATATAGGTGGAATCGAATTATTCTGAAATAAAGCGTGCCATTTGTGTTCTTTTTATAAAAATCCTAAAGCCATTTTAACGCATGTGCATTATTACCATCCATGGGCGTACGCAAGTGCATAGTGCAAACCGAGTTTATTAATAAGCTAGTGGTAGCAAATTTGAAACATGAATAAAATGTGAATCCTTTGATTACATGTGTATGTTAAAGTTTTTGGATTCGTTATGCGTTTGGACACAACAATAGAAAATCGTTGTACATTAACTAAACCGGACCCAAGTTTCTCGATAAGGGGCAACAAACATTCTTTTTTGCTCGTTTATATAAAGCAGTGGATAAAAATATACGTATATGCGAAAGGCAAATTTATCTGTTTAAATGAACACCACCAATATTTCTTGCATATACATATCGTTTACAACTTTTATTTCGCCTCCGACATAGAATTGTTTTCGTACAAAATTACGCAAAAAAGCTTACTCGTTCGTTTTTAGGCATGCCATTGTTACGAATTTCGAAAGTTCGAAAATACGATTCGGATTGCAGCATACTATTTCAACGATTCGTAGCAAAATCCGAATACGAAAGAGTTGCAGAATAGGGGTGTATATTTTCTGGTAGGTCTTTTCGAGTAAAACCAGAATCGAAATATGAAATTTGCCAAATACCCCCAAAATCTTAATGTAGCGTTAAAAACCGGTTTTTCGTACTTTTACGCACTTATAAGCCTGTAACTTAGTTCATTATGAAATTAGTTTAGGTTTATTGCCGGGGTTAAAAAGAAGAAACTTGGGCCTTTCGAACGATATATACTTGAGTAAAGAAACCTTAAGAGATCTGTGTGAATTTACTCAGCAAAAATTTGTATTTTTATTTTACTTATTTCACCTTTTTTCAACTTTGGTGAGGTTTCTACGAACTATTTTATAAGAAAACCATACTAGTCCCAACTTGATTGTAAAACTAAATTTAATAACGAGTAAAACGAGTGTTTACTTTCAAAAGTCGGATGGAAGTTTACTGAGTTATCAAACTTTTTATGAAAAGAAAATGTTTGCAAAAATATTATTTTGGACTATACTACTCAAAAATGTTTTCTTGACCGGTTTTTCTTAATTAAGCATCATAAGTCTCTCATTGTAAAATATTCTGAAATCATTTCTGTACCCAAGCGCACTCGTGCACAAGGGTATTATAACTTTGTTCAAATAACGGTTGTTTGTAACAGCCAAAACGAATCGAGATAGATATAGACAAATGTATACATAAATGATCATAATGAAAAAAGAAATCGATTAAGCGGTGACTGTCTGTCCGTCCGTTCGTCTTTGCACACGATAACTCGAGTAAAAATTTGGATATCTTAACGAAAGTTGGTATGTGACCTTTTTTCTGCTTAGGACGGATGGTATTGAAAATGGGCAAAATCGGACAATAACCACGCCTACCTCCCATATCACGGTAGTTTTCAGAAATACGAAAACTGCGATATTTTGGTAACTAGTGAAGCTTATTCACTCAAAATTGATATTTACAAAGATTTTGAGACGAAAAATTATAATATTATAAATTTTTGGGAAATGCGTTTAGCCACGCCCACTTATGATTACATCTGTATATCTCGGTAACCGCTCCACCAATTTCCGCCAAACTTGGCACGGCCTTATCATTATTGTGATTTTATTTTTTCCTCCGAAACGTTTTTTAATTGTAGCTATTTCTTGGCTAAAGTGTTCGCCTTGTTCATCACTGAACTGGCGCAAATTATGTGGGAAGAAGTCCAAATGCGAATGAAGGAAATGAATTTGTAACGACATGTTAAACCCCATTCCACCGTAAGCATTCACAACCGTGACATAGTCGTCGCTTCTGTGGCTTCCTACGAAATTATTGCATAGCGCGACAAAACACTTCCATCCACGTTTTTCAACATAGCTAAGCTTGTTCAAAAAGCTCACTTCGCTCATAATTTTACGAATTTGAAGTCCTATGAAAAAACCTAAAATTCATAAAAAGAGATAAAATCAATGAAAAAGTATTAGATGAAAGAATAAAAAATTAATACCTCCCTTTATTTTGGCTTCACTTAATTTTGGCAACACCACTTTAAGATGACAAAAAGCGTTGCTATTTGCATCTAATTTGTTTACAAAATAGCTGGGGAATAATGATTAGTAATCCTAATGATTAGTAATCGGATTGGAAACTTTTATTTTGCAGAATAATTGATTAATTAGGATTAGTTGGCTATACTAATGGATTACTTATTGATTAGATTAGAACTAATCAAAAATCTAATCGCGATTAGTGACGATTAGCATATCTAATCAAAACTAATCAAAAAAAATTCGATTAGATTTCTCGATTAGTTTTGATTAGCTTTGATTAGATCAACTATTTTGAAATATTTTTGTAAAAAAAAATTTATTTATTTTTGTATATACTCTCGTTTTTTTGTTAAATATTCAGAATAGAACATTTTTGGTTATAATTGTTGTTCGCGCCCCCTCTATAAAATATATCATCGCTACCATTGCCTACACACAATTCTTCGTCTTCGCAATATGCATTTTATCAAAATGCATTCTCTTCGCATCCATATGTACATATTAGACTCCTGCGCAATTCCATTTAAACGGCCGAACAAGACATCCGATCGCCGCGCAAATACTTTCCATCCCCTACTTTCATCGTTCGGGTCAATTGTGAGTAAGCATAAACCAGTTTCAGCAAGCGTACGTAAACTACCGATCAATAGCAACACGCGTAGAGTATTTACTTTGCCTTCCGCAACTACTGCGAGTAAAAGGTATTTGACAGTAGAGTACTCTACTGGTAGTACTTGAGTATTTTCGAAGAAAACATACATTTGTGGCAAGAATGATAGAAGAATTTTCTGGATCGCGCATTTATGGTATCTGAAAAAAACTAAGGACAGGAATGTAGTGGAGCGATGAAGAGAGCGACGAGCAAAACGTACTTTCAACTAAAATGCTGATATACATACCTAAGTACATATGTATGTATGTGCATAGATACGTACATATGTGCATAGATACATACATATGTGCATAGATACGTATGTGCATAGATACGTATTTGCATAGATATGTATGTGCATAGATACGTATGTGCATAGATACATATATATGTAAGTGTCCGCATATATTTTTTTTCGTCACTTGTTCTGTCGCTTCACTGCAGCAAAACCAAGTTGTGAGGAAAACCCTGACGATATGCGTAGAATTGAAACCATGGGTTCATACTAAATATATATATGTATGCATGGACATATGTACATATGTTAAAATGTAGTTTCGATTTTAAAAAAATCGGATGAAGTTTTTCTTTCGCCATTCATACACCTCTAATTTCAGTATTTATTAAAAAAACACAATGAAATTCAAAAACTATCTTGCATTTGGGTTTACTCAATACCAATTTGAGCTGTCGCAGTGTTATCAAAAAAAAAGAGTTATCAATAGGTAGGTTCAGAAGGCGCAGCAGTTGAGCGCAACCGTTGCTAAACAAAAATCAGTGATCGTTATGCGTCTTTTGAACGACTTCATACATTAGCTGTCAAATTCAACTCTCAAAGGTACACACCAACATGTTGTCTCAAATGATCAGAAAAATATTACGATCATCTAACACGCAACTATTCAGTTGATCAGAAGTACGCAACAACGCGTTCAGAAGGTGCAATCGCACCAGTTACTGAGCTGTTTCGCCTTCTGAACGTGCCAAATGAAAATTCGTTTCTCTTGAAATCAAGTTATATGGCTGCGTATGTATGTACATATGTATGTACATATTCCGAAATTTTTTTTATTTGTAAAGGCTCTCAAGAAAAACTAAAAATTCATATAAAATTACGCACAATAAATGGAAAATAAATTTTCTTCTATAAAAAATTTCTTAAATCAGTATGCAGCTTTTAAGAAAAAAATGCTCTTACATCTCGTCGATACCATGTCCAACTATCGAATGTGAAAATCGGCACTTTTCAAAATTTTAATTTGCCACTAATAATTTTATTTCGTATAGCAGCATTGCTTAAGTTATTGTTTTTGACAACTTATTTGTTGGTTAATGACTGCAAATAGTTTTATAGAAAATTAGAGACGAGAAATAATACTTTCATAAAAATTTAAGCACATACATAGATTTAAAAAGCTGCTTGAATACAAAAGTTTTATGAAAATGTCACATTAAACAACTGTCTAAATCTACGTTATTTTTTATAAATAAGGCCGTAAACATTTCCTTACATCGTCGATTTCCATATTCTATTTTTACTCTTTCAATTTCACTGACCAGCGCTGCAAACGATATCAACTAGTAGGCTAACAACCAGAATTGAAATTTAATACGCAAGTACTTACCGTACTACAAGTATACAGAGAGTAGATTTGCTACTCCCTTTTGGCAGCAGCAAATATCTCTCGTACGCGATGAGGGAAGGTGGAGTACGTACTTTGGTGGAGTAATAGCAAGTACGTCAAGTATTTACTCTCTCAACGCCAAGTAGTGTATGTATGCGGAAAAAAAGTAACAATGTGTTGGGAGTAGAGTACAATGCAAGGAGTACTTATTGAATGAAATGCGGCAAATACAATTGCGCTGGACTCTAGTACATATACAGCTGTAAGCATATAAACACAATAACTACAGCAGAGCACTGCTTAGTTAATCAATCTCGCTGTCGCTGCCCACGCTATCGTCATTATCATCGTCATCATTGGTATTACTTTGAATATACATACCGACATACATATGTAAATATACAGAACATCACACCACCAGCAAAATAAAGTCAAATTGAGTTATGATTAGACAGCTGACCTGACAGTCCGCGTTAAATAACACTTTTCGTTTTTCATTGTGGCCTTCAATCTATAAAGTGTTGTAAGTGAAGTGGTGAAAACTCTATTTGTAAATATAACATTTTCAAATTGTAAATATCGTAGTTGTCGAAATGGAGCAAAATGTCGGAATGGATCAAGATCTGTTTGAAGACCAAGACTTCTCGGCAGATGATGATGTTGTTGACCCAAATTTTATCCCGGAGAAGGTGATCCGCAAGAGGAATATTGTTGCGGATAGTGATTCGGCAGTGAGTACTAAAAGAATGCGTAGCGTCGGAAGGAGTTCGCCTAAATTAATTTTCAATTCAGAATTTTACGTGGCAATGGAAAAAGTATGTTAAACTAAGTGTTGGTGAATATTTTTCTTAAATTATTGTACTAATGGCTTGTTTTTTGTTACGGCAGTCAAATGGAAGAACAACGGCTAAATGTGCCGCCTGTAATAAAATCATACGAGGCACCGAGGAAGTAACTTCAAACTTCATATCCCATTTGAAAGTTCGCCACAATGACTTACACAAAAAGTATTTAAGTATGAAATCTGGCCCTTCCCGTGAAACCACGACACAGGAAGCTTTTGAACAAAAAATTATCCGTTTTTTGGTAGACTGCGCGTTACCCGTTTCTATTGTAGAAAAAGAGTCCTTCCGTGACTTGTTTAGTGGCACTGGATGGCATGTTATGTGTAAAAAGTCTGCCATGAAAAAACTTGACGAAAGCAAGCATGGTGTCTGCAGTACGGAATAACAAAAATATTTCAAAATAGTTGATCTAATCAAATCTAATCAAAACTAATCGAGAAATCTAATCGAACTTTTTTTGATTAGTTTTGATTAGATATGCTAATCGTCGCTAATCGCCATTAGATTTTTGATTAGTTCTAATCTAATCAATTAGTAATCTAAAATATTAAAGAATAAAAAAAAAATAATGATTAGATTATTTTATTATTCTAATCGTAATGATTTCTAATTCTAATCGAAGTTCCCCAGCTCTGGTTTACAATTAACAGATGGATTGCACGAAAAAAGCGGTCAGGCAGACA